ACTCAATTTCATTAAGCGATGGGACATACCCTAACTGCTGGAAGAAGTCTTATATTGTACCTATCCATAAATACGGGCCTACAGCTGATATCAACAACTACCGCCCCATCAACATCACGTCTGTAGTTTTACGTGTAATGGAAAAGATAGTTAAGACTCAAATCATTCAGTACTTGCTGTCAAATGACCTACTATCCCCATCCCAATACGGTTTCTTAAGTGGAAGGTCGTGCATAACTTGCCACTTAGATTATTTTGACTACATTACACAAAGCATTGATAATGGGCGTTCGGTAACAACATTGTTTCTCGACGTTAGCAAGGCCTTCGATAAAGTCCCGCATATCAGACTCCTAACAAAACTCCAATCCTACGGAATAACCGGAAAGCTTCTCAAATGGATAAGTTCTTTTCTCACAGAAAGACAGCAATTAGTCAAAATCAACCACCAGCTGTCTTCCTCAAAGCCAAATCAATATGGGATAATGTACATTCAGAAAGTAGGAATTAGGGTGGAATTCAAACCCTCCTACAAACTCACTCAGGTAGGACAAGCTCTCTAGGCTAAAATACCCGGTGGACCCAATTAAACAAAATAATATAATTTACAAAACACCCTGCAATGACTGTGAGTTAAGTGAACTACATAGGTGAAACTAGTAGGTCGGGGGTAGTCAGATTGTCGGAACATAAGAATTTAGCTAAGGTAGGAATGGTTGGCCCAGAGAAGATAAGTAATTTGGAAACAAGCTCAGGAATTGCACTACATGAATTAACAGACAACCACACAATAGGGTGGGTGGGAGAGGGTTAACACTCTAAGAAGTAATCTATGTAGGTGGAGAGAGAGAGAGAGACAGGGGTTGATTACTGAATCCTCGTTTATCGAGTCTACACCCAACACAACACATGCAACAGAAATGACTCAATGCAAATACCAGAGATATGTATGGAAGGTATTATTACCACCAGTCAGTCAAATCAGAGGAGGATAAAAATTAGTGTTAAAATGTATTCAATTCACACATTATAACATTCTAACAAGTTATTTCTTTATTTTACCGTGAAAAACATCTTATTGACTGATAAAAGTCTGACATGTATCCATTTATTTATTTATATATGTGTGTGTGTATGTTGGTCTCTCTTTCTATTTGCTCGCTTAGTCTGTGACCATTTCACTTGTATGAACTTGTCTCCTTTAACAACGTATATTCTCCTTATATTATATTACATATAATATGAGTGTTTGTTGACAGTCCGTTGCTTGGTGACATATATCCATATTATATGTGTGGTTGTTGACATGTCTGGTATATTTCGCTATGTATATATGGATCGATACTTCATTATAATTAGCCATTTTGTTCTAGCTGATTGAGCAGTCGAGTTTGGATATCTGTGAAACGAGGAGATTGGAGACTGCATATGAGGATCAAGGCTTTGAATTGATCATCTGTTAAAGATCTGAGTCGAAACCTCTCACATTCTCGGTTGACTGTGCCAACGGGAGTAAGAAAATCATCATTTTGATTCATTGTCAGCTTGAGGAAACGATAACGTATGCTGAATAATGACGAGTGGTCTCCAAAATGTTCACGCAGCAGCTTTATTGTATCATCGAAACACTTGTCACGTGGTTTCTGGGGTAAAATTAGGTTGCAGTACCGTTCATATTCTGCCGGACCCAATTTACGTAACAACACTCGCACCTTCCAGGCATCGTCTTGTGAGACGAGATCAACAGTGAATAAGTCCTCATAACGTTGATACCATGTGTCAAAAGTGACATTAGCCTCTGGGTCATAATTGAACTGTGAAATACTGTTCACAATTCCGTCGACAGATGGTAGCATGGTATGATTGGGATTGGTTGAAGGTGAAGCTGGACCAGTCTGTTGGTTGACGAACATTTCCATTAATTTCATTTGTCGTTCAAACAATAATTCCAATTTAGAATAATCCCATCGCCGTCGCCAAATTGTTATGTTGCTGCTGCTGAGTGGTTAATAGTAGTTTTCCCCGTCGCCAAATTGTTATATACTCGTCGCTAAATTATTGTTATGGACTGGTCGAGAAACTAATAGTCCTGACGCAAGAAGGCAGAAATCAGAAGACCACTAGGTTTGAGATGATACTTCTATTTTCCAAAGACAAGGAGACGAAATAAATGGTCTCACACCAAAGTGGTAAGTAAGTAAGTAAAGTAGTTCACACAAATTGTGTGAACCAAATATATATATATATAGCAGACATGTCAACAACCACACATATAATATGGATATATGTCACCAAGCCACGGACTGTCAACAAACACTCATATTATATGTAATATAATATAAGGAGAATATACATTGTTAAAGGAGACAGTTTCATACAAGTGAAATGGTCACAGACTAAGAGAGCAAACAGAGAGAGAGACCAATATATATACACACACATAAATGGATATATGGATACATATCACTTGGGGTGTTGTAACCGGATTAAATTCTGTTTTAGTCCACCATTCCTATTCAGACAATTTGGATTCCATTTGATGATATGAAGTGCTTGCGATGACATGAGATGGCCTTTAGGATTTCTGAAATTTTTCTGGATGATGATTTCAATATTTTTAAAATCAATTTTGAGACGTTATTCTATAGCGTTTAGGTCACCTATGGCTGATGATTTTTCATGCTTTTCTAGTTCAACAGATGTTCTACGTATTCATTTCTTCTGAGCTCGATCTCTGGTGATGTTTGTCGTATGTATATCGTGCATCGCATTCCAAGGATTTTATTTTACAGACAAAATTAGACTGAAAATCCTTAAGGATTGGATCTTCTACATAGAAAAGTTTGCTTGATAAAAACTATTTGCAGCATTAAATAGCAGAATATCGAGCAGCAAAATCGTGTTTTTTCATTCACTGGGAAATGCAAAAAGCTTTCTGTAATAATAGACTTCAAAGCTTGATGGTCTTATGTCTCATTGATCTGATCAAGATATTGGAAAGGAGTCGCAATCAAACATTTATTTCACGTTCCAGATATGATGGAGAAGATTTGTAGCTCAGGTAGATGATTTTAATGTAATTGTGTTCTCTGAGCTGGATGGTTTATTTGAGAAGCTTTCATTGCCCTCTACTAGGCAGTATCTTCAGCGCATACTTCGCTTTGAAGTCTTATTTTAAATTTCTCCACGAGTTTATTAGCCATCTCTCCTGATAACCTTGAAAATGCTTGGTTGTTTTCGTGTGTTTTCACACCCTCTAGGCTACTTGTGGTATTGAAACTGATTTTTTCCTTGACTTAAACTTTGACCCCTTTGTATTTGAGATATCCTTCATATTGATCGGCAAATCTTGTCCATATCAATGAGTCTATTAAGTGCTGATTCACTGAAATGTCAGACTTCCCGAAATTCTCTGATGATGTTTTTGGTGTTTCCTCTCTCTCTAATATATGAACATTGTACGAGTCGAATTAGTGTCCGTGGTTATCTGTGTGCAGCGATATGACCGAGGGAGTGAACGTCATATCTTTTGAAGGCTAGTTTATGATCATGGATACGAAGACGAGGCGGATATCCACGTAGGCCAATGTTGTGTTTTTCGCAGTTGTTACAATTTATTCTGTAGATGTTGGTTTCATATTCTTTCGTTGTTTAGTCTTTTAGTTGACGTAGAGTCAGTCAGCTTGTGTGGCTTGTGTGAGATGTCAATTTCTAAAGGTTTAAAGAGTCTTGCAGTGGTTTTTGAGATGTGCTCTATATGTAGTAGAACGATTTCCTTTGTGCTTTCCTTGGTTAGTGGCTTTGATTCGGTAGGTTGGCTTGGGGGTAGATATCTTTTGATGAAATTCCGTGGATATCAATTCTTTTGGTAGACGTCCATGAGGTATTTTTCTTCAATTTTCCTTAAGATGGGAGTGCTGCAATTAGTCGGCAAAAGACTTCATATCCACTCCCTGGCTCATATCGCTGCATACAGACAACCACGGACATCAATTCGACTGGTAAAACGTTCAAATATTAGAACGAAGAAATACAAAGGATGTCACAGAATTTTTAGAAACCTGCCTAGTATTCCAGTAAATCGTCAATCAATAGACACATCGACATAGACAGAATTTACCTATCGGTAAGAAAAAAAAATCTCTTGCAAAGAAAGTCAAACTCCAGGTCAAGGAGGCCATCAATACCAATACAAATGGATTAAAGGGGTGAAAGCAGACAAAAGAAACCAGTCAAGTTCTAGGTCACCCAACAGGAGAGATGACTAATAAACTCGTGGAGAAATCTAAAAGCTCACTTCAATTCGAATTGAAGTATCCGCGATGAAGATGTTACCTAGTAGGATGCAATGAAAGCTTCACAAATAAACCATCCAGCTCAGAGAATACAACTAAATCAATATTTAAGTGTTGGCTTGTGGGGATTTGGTTGGTTACAGGATTTCATCATGAGCTGACATTGTTTAGAGAACCATTGGAAAGCCTGGGAGTACTGGAAAGCTGTTTCGTCCTAGTTTGCGACTCATCAGTACGCACCCACCGGGGGTCCAACCGGGGACTGGTCGTGACCAGTAGTGTGCAGTAGGTCGGGTGTGAGGACAAATACTTGCCGAAGACATTGGCTGTGTCATGAATTGGCAGAATTTGGAATTCATGGAGTGGCCACTGGATCGGGTCCCAGTTGCTTAATGGTATACGAGCTCACCTTGTAACCAGAAGGTCCTGGGTTCAAACCCCGGTGGGTGAGTACTGTGAAGAGTCCCAAAGTAGGCTGACGAAACAGCTACCCAGTACTCCCTGGCGGCTTCCAATGGTTCTCTAACCAAATGTCAGCTCATTATGAAATCCTGTAAACAACTAAATCAAACTTTTACGTTATTTTTTTTTGAAAATATCACCCTTAAACTATTCGATTTATCATTACAGATGATTTGATCTTCGTTTTGTGTTTGTTCTCTTTGTAAAAGTAGAACAAAAATAAATCAATAAACAAATAAAAGAATGGAAAAAATATCTGTAAATAATGGGACAACTTTTTCACAATCTCCTCAAGTCTATAAATTTATCACAGAATGTCCAGACTATTTATCATCCAATGGGAATGACTTCAGTTGTGGTAATAGTAGTAATAGTAACCATTGTGATAGTGATAATGAATTCGATTCACATGGAGGAGGAGGAGGAGGCATTGGCGTTGGATCTAATGACGTGCATATGACAATGAATCTCCCAGAAGTTAGTAGTCCGACTCCAACTGCATCCTTGTCTTTTATTCATCCATCACCGTCAACTGGGAGTAAACGTCGACTAGTTGTCAGCAGCAATACTGATGACACTATCACCGCCAGCACTAACAATACTACTCCTCTAGTATTTACTCAACAATCATCAGATGAACATCATTATTTATCTGGTGAAAAGTTAACACGTGGTAAACAAAAAATCCCTATTGAATTTATCTCTGAACGTACTAAACGATATTCAACATTTTCAAAACGTAAAACAGGTCTAATGAAAAAAGCGGTTGAATTAGCTGAATTAACCGGTGCTGAAGTCCTTCTACTTGTTGCTTCAGAGACAAATCATGTTTATACATTTGCAACACAACGGTTGAAAGGTATTATTGAATTAGAGTGTGGTAAAAAATTAATTCAAACATGTTTAAGTTCAAGTTCGGGGAATTCAGCAAATTTATCGATGATGAAAACTCATTGTCAAGATCTCAATATTAATACTACCACTAATACTAATGATTCTATTAGAAGTCAAAATGTCAATGAATCGGATAGTGGTTGTAAAAAAGAGAGAAATACTACCATTAATACTACAACTACTACTGATAATAGTGTTAGTAGTATCGATACAGCTAAGCATAAAGATCCTGTTGAATCGACACACATCAGTGGGAGGAATACCACAGTAATCCCAAATTCAAGCCTAGATGGTGATGATAATGATGGCGGTAGCCTTCTACAAATCTCAAATTTAAATCCTAATGATATTTCCCAGGATTCTAGTCAAATGGATTGTTCTAGCGTATCTCTAGAGCATGGAATTATCACTGATAATAATAATAATGATAATAATAGTAGTAATGATAATACACCTCAGTTGACTTATATCACAAATCCATCGGAGACTAATCATCAAATGGTATATGTTCCAGTGAGTATATTCCCCAACCCACTAACTCCATTATCATCAAATATTCTATTGACAACTGCTCAAATGACCGCTATGGCGGCTACTGCTAGCTCCCCTCCTTCTACTAATAACAATACTATTCCTCATCAATTGCTCCTCTTACCACAGTTTAACACACTCCCAACATATTCTGTTCCATCAAATCCTGTTGTATTCAATAGTACTTTATCAACATTAAATCAATTGAATATGAATCTGGTAAACTTTTTAAATGTTAATCGTGATATTCATAATACTAATACTATCATTAATAATAATAATAACAATAATATTAGTAATGGACCTGTGGAGGTGTCTACAAATTCCACTACTCTTTCTCCTCTCTCTCCTTCACTTCCTCTCACAACTGTTACAACACGGTCAAATGATGTTATTTCAGAGATTAATCAGTATAAAAAGGAGCCCATGTAAATAGATTTTTACTCTTTTCAACCTCTAGAGGTGGCTGAATTATGATTTTGCCTTCATTTTTATTTATAATTGATGATTTAATCGTTCTTTTTTCTCTTCTATTTTAAAATACTTTCCCCTCTCCGCGCTATCCTCGCTGTCTCTCTCCCTCTTACTTGCCGTCCTATCGATGACTTACTTAACCAACTATCGGCCAGCCCGCCTGCCTACCTTGTGTACAAATACTTTCATGTTAATTAATATTGTTATTATTATTATTATCATTATCGCTATATAGTATATGCTTGTTAATATTTTGGTAAGTTGATTATTTTCAGAGCTTTCTTTTTTAAAATGTTTATAGATTAAATAAATAAAAAACAACAATTATTCCTAGGTGTTGTCCTAATTTTTATTCGAATACAATTTGAACTTTCCCGCTCATTGATTGGCTGATTGAACTGTCTATCTGTTTCCAACATAGAACTTTGCATCGATGTGCACCAGTTCAAGTCACCACACTCCCTCCATGCAGCACACAAAACAAGAGAAGAATGTAAAATAGAAATGCAAAATAGAGACAGTAGATAGGGATATGAGACAAAGGGAATAGTAATAACGAAGAACAATATACTTTTATTGGATATTATAAGTTACAAGGAGTGGATGCATCTGCGCCAGCCATTGAGAAAGAGGATTTTGAGCCATATCATCAATTGTCTCCAGCCACCATTGGTGCTTACCGTCCTGAGGACCCCAACCAATCAAGAAGTCTACACCTTCCTACGTGGCTGGTTGACTTAAACTAACTGTTGTAGATTTCATTGACTGGTGCTATGTTTTGGTATGACCGCCGCTAGTTCTTTTCCAGCCTGACCCTATGTCAGCTAACATTGCCCATCGTTCGAAGAAGGCGATGACTAGCACACGTAACACATATACTAACCATCTCAGTGGATGCAGATTCACAGCCCCGTCGATTGGTTTCCCCTCTTACCTAGCGCTCGACCGATGTCCAACCTATTGTACCACTTCAGAAGTGAGATAGAACGCATGCACCTATGATCAAAGACAGCTAGCCTTCTCTTTCATGTCTTCCACAATCAATGATCAGGTCTCATTGATTGAACTGAAGTAATCGGCCTCAGATACTGACACGTCGGCTGCTCTAACTTGAAGCAATTTTCCATAGATGATGACTGATTTGACTTGCAGTGGAATCTGGGACAGGACAACGCGCATTTCATATTATTTAGCACTTGTGATCTAGTGGGTAACGCTTTGGCGTTTGAAACGATGGGCATTGGGTTCGAAGAGCTTCACTTGGGACACCATCACCAACTGACTGGGGAATGCAGGTACGCCCGAATGGCGAGTCCCAAATAGGACGAACAAGGTGTGCACATCCTGGATACCACTGCTGGCCACCAAACTACTTCAAGGTGTCTTGTTTTGTCCCTTGTAACTTGACTGACTGGTTTCAAGATAGAATTTTGCACAGACGTGCAGCAGTACAGATTTGATATAAACCCCATATAGAAGACAAAGAGAGACGATAATAGAGGGAAATGTGAGGGAGGGAGAAAGAATAATAACCTGGGAAAACAATAAGGTTTTGTTGGATATGTCGGATCACACAAGAGTGGAGAACGCATCTAGGCCAGCCATGACTGAGAACGAAGACTGAGCCAGCCAGCCATATCACCAATTGTCTCCAGCCTTCATTGGTTCTTACCACCAACCAACCAGCCAGACTGGCAGTCTACACCTTCCTAAATGCCTCAAACTAACTGGCTGATGCGAAGTCTTGGTGTGACCACCACTAGCTTATTTCCAACATAATCTTGTGTTAACTAACAGTAGTGACTGTTGAGGAAAGCAATGGTTTGTCATGCATAAGACAAGTAGCTTCACAGCCTCATCGATAGGCTTTATTTCCTTACTTGGCTAGCACTTGACCGATACCTAACCACCTCAGTATTACACCCAACACGGGTGGTAGAACAAAGACATCTATGATCCAAGACAGCTAGTCAAGCTTTTCATGTCCTCCACATTGTCAATACCCATGACTCATTGAAGTGAAGAGGTCAACACGCTCAGCTACTACTCCACTCCTCTCTAGCTGTAAGCTAGGAGTGAATCGATGTAGTCCAGTCCTGTAGCATCATCATCATCATCTTACATTTGGCACGAGCGAATCGCACGCCAAACATTCGAAGACTATTGCTCCTCAAGGTGTTCAGGAGACTCTGCATATTGTCAGCGTTTTTACCTAGGAGGGATATATATCATCGCATATTTTAACTCAACAAGTGAATGTCTAAGTTCCTGAAGTCAGTTAGGGTCATTTTCATGAATACAACTACAATGAAAGTGAATAGAAATGGGGTCAAAAGGCATCTCTAACAGACACCACTGGTAGTAATCATTTCAGAGGATAGCTCTCCGTTAGATCTTAACCTGGCTGCATGAGTTCGAGTAGGGTCAGTGCAATGTACTTTCTGAGTGAAACACATTTCTTCATTGTACTCTTATTCTCTGTTATTATTTTCACTTTTGCTTCACGACTGTCCAAGAATTTTCATTTCCTCAGTGTTCACACCTTCAGATCTATTGAGCTTCTATTCGACGACCTACCTGACTTGTGATGTCATTTGATGACCGTCTACTGAGCGAGCGTGTATGTTTATAGTCCATCTGAATTTCCTTGTGTAAATTTGTTGGGATTCCTGCCAGTTGCTTTTAACCATCTAATATCACCGAATCAATATGCATCGTGATGACAAGCTACCTAGAATGGTGGTCACATTGCAAACCTGACTGACAGAATTCAGTCTGCACCAAAGAAAGGACTAGCTAGATACACCACACTAGTTACTAGTGTCCAACCGAAGTATCCAATACAGAGTGCTACAGGTAGTCGATCGTGAGCCTGATTAACTCAATGGTAATGTCTCTGACCGTATAATGAAGGCTAGGGTGGCATACATCAACTTGAGCCACCTCTGGCGCCGTCGCGACGTAAGCCTGGCTGTCAAAGGTCGGATATACAATGCTTCGGTGCGGGCTGTCTTGCGCTAAGCCTGTGAAACCTGACCTCTCCTAGTAGGCTGAGGATGTGTGGTGACTCTACGTGTTCGATCATCACCGTCTCCGCAGGATTTCTTGCGTTCGATGTCATCATCGCGTGAGTAATTCTAAGGTTCGGCGGCGTTTGTTTGAACACAGTGGAGATCACCATTCGTTGAGTGTCGTCATCTGGAAAGAGCGGCTCCGGTGGCTTGGACATGTGCTGCGAATGTCATCCCAGAGGCTTCCATACAGGTCTCTGTTCACTAGCCAGCGCTGGGACGGGATGGAAAAGGCGGAGGGGTGGTCAGTCCATGACGTGGCGTCGTGGGATGAAGGATGTTTGTGTTAGATTAGCATCGGTTGGTGAGTGATGACTCCCTGGTTGGGGTCCGCGAGATAGCTCGAAACGTTATCGGATATGGCCAAGAATCGCAGTCATCAATGGCGAACGTGTTGCAATTTCCTCCTTTCTTTCCTTCTCGATGATAGTGAGCGAATACTATTTGAACTTGTTAAGCATGACTGTTTACCTTCCAGACGAAGTTCTTTATCTGTTCTCTACTTATATTCTTACTTTTAATCTATGTTGTTTTATTATCATTATTATTATACTGTGTGGCGCATCTTTCTTGGTGCCTTGATGTACCAAGTTTTTTCTGCGTTTAAATAAATAAATAAATGAACGTGTCTGACTGCAGCACGGGTGATGCGGGTTCGAATCTCAGAAGGAGGGATATGAGTTCCTTTAAGGTGACTGCAGGTGACTTGACTTGCTGACTGACTGTTTGAGTGCTAACTATCACGAAACCTAGGTCAAGCAAGGCTTCCTGTGATCGGTTGCCTCCTACCACATAACAGGCATTAGATTGTTGGTCAGTTTGCTGCTAGAGTTCCTTGTTGCTTATCCTTTCTCGTCGGATACCTGATGTGCAGTATCTTGATAGTAGGTCGGTGTTAATTAGGGTCTACAGCAGGCTGTTGAGTAAAATGCTTATGGTCCTGTGCACATCAAGTCGATGAACCATATGGTGAGGTATATTGATTAAGACAACTAGTAGTCTATAAGTAATTCGGGTAATCACGCATTTGCTTCTTTGGTCGTTAGACTTATGAAAGTTAGTCTAGCAGCGATTTTATTTATTATTCTGATTATTTCAATACTTTTTGAATTTTTAGACAAGTACTGATGCCCTAAGTCTGTATCGTTTTATGAATGTTTAAACTAGACTTCCAAACTATACCACGCTTATAGGCTAGAAGGAGATTATTCTAGGAGATTTGTACTAAAGAACTATCCACCCCTAAGCTTTAATATAGCCTAATTCACAAATAAGTCCCTAGACAGCTGCTAGTATAAGAATTGTGGTGATAAATGCTACAACTATATGTGACGTCTCCAAGGTACATCCCACTTCTTGTTGCTTACATAATCGATGACAGTGATCGTAAATCTCCTAATTAGGTGTTAACGTTTGAAAATGTCTACAGAACGATTCTGGACATTTTATATCCACCCATATGTATATATATATCACACGGAGTCGCCGCACATCCTCAGCTCGGAGAAGCCAGGTTTCACAGGCGTAGAACAAGATAGCGCGCACCGAAGCATAGCAAACCCGACCTTTGATAGCCAGGCTAACATCACGACGGCGTCAGTGATGGCTCCAGTTGACGTATGCCATCCTAGCTTTCATGATAGGGTTGAAAATCTCGTCCGTCAGAACTTCGTCAGCACTCACACAACTACCCACCCAGATACACAAACTTATCACCAACTTCAAGCCGTTCACCAGCAAGTGATTGCAAGCACAGGCTCCTGACAGTCTTGTAACATCGCAAAGCACATACATACCATTCTTTCTTACATACACTGGTCGCCAACTGACTAAGTGAGATTTCGGCAGCCTACATGCTATCGTATCGAACAGTAAGATGATGATATC